CACAACAACAATAACAACAACAACCATAACAACCACAACAACCACAACAACAACCATAACAACCACAACAACCACAACAACAACAACAATCATAACAACAACCACAACAACAACCAAAACAACCACAACAACCACAACAACAACAACAATCATAACAACAACCACAACAACAACAACAACAACAAAAATTACCACGACCACAAGGTCAGCAACAACAGAAACATCGGTGAGTTACCTGTACAACTCATAATTATATTGTTTTTTTTAACAGACTGTTCTCAAACTCTCACACTCTCAGCTACGTCGGATCCTGCTTCTCTTGTGACTTGGTCCTCTGTCTCTCTCTCTCTCTCTCTCTCTCTCTGCAAAAATGTAAAAGTGAATATTTCACGTCCATATCAACTTAATAATAATAGTAATAATTTTGATCATTTCAGAAGATGAATTGTTTTTCTTCCTACTTGTCAGGGCCAACCCAAGTTCAAAGGGAAACAACTTCTCGGGCTAACATACCAAAAAATGTTTTAGCCTACACTCTCGGGAATTGAACTCAAGTATTCGGCGAGTGACGACAAAGAACTAAGCCATCGCTCGACGACACCGATGTACAACAGAGTCAATGACATTACCAGAGAAATAAGTGGATAATAAACAATAAGACCACGTCCCATTAACTTAAATGTAGCCTACATTTCCAATAACTGAGCAACTTCTCAATGTTCGGAAACATAACAAATCGGTTGCTAGAAAACAGTGAATACATTATAAAATTTTGATCTTTAACGGAGCGTCTTTTTGTTTGTTGTAGCTGAAGAGGTCATAATGTAGTACTAGGGCTCGTGGCATTGACGCCACACACGTATGCGAAATAACACTCCTTTATAATATGACGTCTTTTTTGTAATAGACAGGAGAGCACAATAAGATAGTGCACTAATCAAATGAGAAAACGAAACGAAACAACATACACAAACCGAACAAACCCAGAAAAAGCAAATACTTACCAGCAACGCCACTGTATTTCATTAACGAAAGGGTAAGCTTACGAGTACGGAAGTTCTTAGTAATTCGTCGACGATTTAAAACAACTAATCAAATGTTCAGAGCAAGAAAAGACTTGTATATTCAGTACAAATTAAAGTGAAATCGTTCTTTATGGAGATGATTATCCAATTTGAACTTCTTACAGTAAACCCTAGACATCCGTCAAAGATAACACTCTGGCCTGTGTGGGTAAAACAGCAACATGTTATCTCTTACCTCAGCATGAAGCCAACCACCTCTCACAGAGACACCTACCGTCGAGATCGAATGTGTGCCAATTCAAAAAACTCCGCAAAGTCTGTATAAATAAAGTCGATCAATCAGTATCGACTTTTTCCTCGGGTTACGAAGCTGAGCAATATTGAGGAAGACGATCAATACGGACAGTTCACCGATCGTGCTTACGTGTTGTTGTGTCTGTCAGGTCTCAGGCAGCCCAGCTCTATTTGACATAATAAGGCTCTGTCGTGTCTGGCTCTCAACAAATCCACCCCTCCCAAACTAAAAATAATTTAAGCGACAGAATTTCGTCACACCAGGATGTGCTTCGGGTGGGTGTTATGCAATTGCCAGCGCCGCAAAACCTCTGCTAAAACAAAAGCTTCTGGTTTGATTGAGTAGGTGTTGTACGGCACTATCGACTCAATTTTGGTTATGTAAGTGCCATAAAACTTCTGGTGGGTGGGTAAAGTGATATTTGCTTTTGCCTTGCCCGACTGGTAAATGTCTAAACAAAAATATTCTCTTTATGCTGTTTTCATACTACAGATTTTGGTTGTTGTTCTTTCTATAAGTAGATATCAACTTACTTCGTGAATTTGACAGCAGGTTCATTGGCTCTGGCAGTCGACTCAACTCGCAGCCGTTTGGTTGTTCCCCCACGAATGACAGTAAACAGACCGTGACGGACACTTGAACGTCGTGCAAGTCCTTGGATGTTGTTCTTTTTTAAAGTTATTTGCTCCTCGGGTTTCTGCGCACAGGCCCAATTTTTTCAGACTGTGTCACCTTAGGCTTCCTCAGTGCTGCAGCTGTGGTCACGTGCACGCGCACGCGAGTGTATGTGTGTGTGTGTGTGTGTGTGT